TGACACATTAGGTTGTATAAAAAAGTAGTAACAAAATCATTTCCCAAGAAAGAATTTTCTTTGAAGTCTTGACCAAACAACTTGTAAAAAATGAAAAAAAAAAAAGGAACTTTGTGTGTCATATTTTAAATCTAACATTAGGAGTTGTGGTTCAATCTATGGACACCAGCAACTTTGTTAGATACTAAAATATGTATACTAATAAAAGGTTCAAAACGAGAGATATTTTTTTTATGCATATTACTTATTACGTGAAATGAATAAAATTTATTCAACACTTTAAACTAGTGGGGGATTATTGAATAGTTTCAAGTGTGAAGTTAAAAGTAGACAAAATTTATGGACCTGAGATTTTAGTCCTTGAAATATATTATGATCAAATTAAACAAGGACTGGTTCATAAAATTACTTTGAATAGTGTGTGAAATTGAGTGATGGAAAAGCATTTTCAAGATATGCAAATTTGTGACCATTTGATCAAAGCTTAAGGACCATCCTGCTAAATTAACCAAATAGTGACAGAAGACATGGAAATGATGTCCATGAGGTAAAAGGATGTGACCTTTGGATGTCTGTAAGGTTAAAGGTTGTTACCTTTGGATATTTGATTAGGGGTAGGTAAGGTTTTGGTTAAAATTGAAATCAATTTTAAAATAATTGAAAATTTTTTTCTTCAATTTTGAGAATCGAAATTGAACCAAAATTTTTACAAATCAATCAGTTCGGTTATCAATAAAATCGGTTCAATTTCAATTTTTGGTAAATAAATATTAATCAATTATTTTTTTAATAATAAATTATATTTTATCACATATTTTATCATATTTATCTTATTTTTAGTTTTCAAGGGGCTTAATTTTGGTTTTCAGTTTTTAAAATGTTCAATCGAAACCGAACCAAAACTTATTCAGTGAACATCAAAACTGAAAAAATAAAATCAAAAACCATTGAAACCGAACCAAATTCATTTTTTCAATTTGGTTTTCGAGTAACCCGTCGATTCGGTTTCAAATGCTCAGCCCCAGAACAAACATGGTTTTTGGTGAATGATCAGACATGATCATTCGACATGTTCAATAGACATGTTCAATAAATATGTTTCTTCATAAAAATGGACACATCCTTTTGGAAAGACCCAATAAATATGTTTCTTCTTACATATAAACATTTCCTTCACAGACTCAACACATTGGTTCATTGTCAATATAAAGACAAGTTCATATTCACTTTCATCATTTGACTCATTTCTAGTATTCCTTCACATCTACACTTTGAGAGCTCTTTGGTTTATTCTGTTGTATCTTGAGAACTTTTAAAACCTTAAGAAAAGTGATTATGTTCACGTCTCAGAACTTTTTTGTTTTTTATAATATTTTTTCTCTTATTTTTCTAACAATTCCCATTCACACTATGAATATATAAAGCCCTTAACCCTTCTTTTAAACCACAAGAATGATATAATTTCAATGCTCTCAAATACTACCTCCACTAAAACATCTTGGTCTTTGAAAATAAAATTATTGCGTGCATTCCATAAAGACCAGCTATAACCATAAACAAATAGGACCACACCCTCCTTGATCTATTATTTTCCATTCCCAAAACAATTTGCCTATAAGTGTCCTTGACATGATTAGGTAGCATAGCAAAAAATCCCCACCATTTTAGACATTTCATCCATACTTGGTACACAAACTTGTAGTTAAGCATTAAGTGCCTCACATCCTCTGCCTCTTCCTTGCATCTTTCACAAAGGTTATTTCTATCTCCCACTTGAATGCCTCTTTAATCTAGATTGATTTTTGTTGGGAGTCTGTTCGAAAACAATCTCTAAGCCAAAAAAAGAAATTCTTCCAAGCATAAGATTATTCCATATTGCTTTGCATTGATCAACAGATAAAATAGAATAGGCCTTCTTAACAAAATATTCTCCATTGCCATCATGTTTCCAAATTCTACTATCTTCAATACCCTATACCCTCTTTCATCCTTACCCTTGCTAACTGTTCTAATAGTAATCTCCATCCTCTCTAGCCTTCCCTAATAAATCCCTCCACCAGTCAGTTGTCCTTGCAGATATTTTTTTTTATAATTAATATCCTTTATAATTTTCTCTCCTAATCAACATTATTTATAATTTGAAATCTACAACAAAAAACTTTAAATTATTAACAAAGTTAAAGTGTAAATAGAAAGTTTAATAATTAATTTTTAAAATTTTAATATGTGTCAAATTATAAAGAGTAGTGATCGAAAATAAAAATTGTTAAAGATATTAATTATGAGAAAAAATAATGTATAAGGTATAAATAAGAATTTGGCCAAAAGAAAAAGCTATTTATCGAAAAATTAATGAACAAAAATTGAAAAAGGAAGCAGATTTTCGTAAGCTCCTACGGGCAAAAGGTACTCGTTTGCCCTTTAACTTTTCAAATTTGAGGGTTTTTACCTTTCATATTACAATACATGAATTTTTATCCTCAATATTTTCGAGTTTGAGGAAATGAGGCAAAATTTAACGCCGGAGCGTCACGTGTAGCACGTGCACCGTTGGCCTCCATCAAGTATGCACCAGTCAGCGCCAACTCAGACTTTTTTGACAACTTCGCATGCCAACTTGGAACCCCATGAGCGGGAAGTCTACCTGCTACCAATTTTATTTGTGCGTCTCACCACTGACTAAAGGTTTGAAAAAAAAAGGTTAAATCCTCGATTCAGTCCCTCAACTTTCATTTTTGAACTAAATTTACCCTCGAACTTCAAAAAGTATTAAAAAAATCCTTGAACTTCAATTTTTGGAACCAATTTTGTCCTTATGTCAGTTAAGTGCTGACATGGCAAAATCTCCTGTTAACAAATTCAATTTTTATTAATATTAAATATTACCTGGAAATAAAACAAGTGAAGTGACATTTTTAATGATTAAAATATTGTGACTTGGCACCAAAAATATAATTTAATAAATAAAAATTT